ACATAATGCAAAAGAAGGACAAATTATTGCAGGTGGAAATGGCAATGGAAGCCGAATGCAACAATTGAATAATGCAACAGATGTGATTGTTGATCAACAAAATCATTTGATCATCATTGCTGATCGTGGAAACAGACGAGTAATTCAATGGTTGAATCAAAATCAAGAAATCCTGATCGAGAATATTGGCTGTTATGGCTTGGCAATGGATAAAGATGGATTTCTTTATGTATCTGATTCAGGGAACAATGAAGTGAGACGATGGACAATGGGTGAATACAATGAAGGTGTTATAGTGGCAGGTGGAAATGGAAAAGGAAGTCAAGTCAATCAACTCGATTATCCTAGTTTTATTTTTGTTGATGATGATCAATCTGTTTATGTATCAGATCAAAACAATCATCGTGTGATGAAATGGAGAAAAGATGCAAAAGAGGGAACAAGTGTGGCTGGAGGAAATGGTCAAGGAGCAAATCTCAATCAATTGTCTTATCCTGAAGGAGTAATTGTTGATGATTTGGGTCAAATCTATGTGGCAGATTATGAGAATCATCGAGTAATGCGTTGGTGTGAAGGAAAAGAAGAAGGTGAAATTGTTCTTAGTGGAAATGGTGATGGAAATCAACCAAGACAGTTGTATTATCCCCGTGATTTATCTTTTGACGATGAAGGAAATCTTTATGTTGTTGATCGGTTCAATCATCGAGTTGCAAAATTTGAAATTATACTGTGAATGAAATTTTGATTTTGAGAAAAAGAAAAAAAGTTTTTTATTGAATAAAAAAGATTGACAAAAAATCTTTTAAAATTTTTTTCTTTAAGATATAATTTGATTTAATAATTTTGATTAAAAAAATCCAAGAAATAAATGTTAAATTCTTCATCTTTTGTTGAATTTTGCGCAAGATAAGAAAAGAAGGTATTTTATACTTTGAATTAAATTAAATAGAAATTACACGAGAAGAAGATTTTGTCTTTGATAAAATTTGAAAGCTGTTCGAAAATGAAAAGAAAAGAAATCTTTTATGAAAACTCGAAAATAAAAATTGAATTCAAGATGAATTTTGATGAACAAAGCAAATATTAAAAAGATTTTCATATAGATAAAAACAAAAACAATTGGAAGGAAAAACGAGCCAAGAAACCGAAACAAAATAAACAGTAATAAAACTTTGAAAAAGATTTGTTATATTTTCCACAGAAATTGAAGTAAATATTTAATAAATGTTTTATCATATTTTATTCAATTCCTTCAAATCAAGAAATGCAACACCATATTTGTTTTGAGAGTGTGAATTCTTTCCCTGCACACATTCACCCACACCCTCAAGAATCGACAATAGGTGTGGATTAGATTTATTCATCTGGGCGATTAACAATGCACTCAATTCTATCAATACAGAATTTTTTTATTTGTACGAAGTAATGATAATGATATGTTGTTGTGATATATAAAGCGTGAAAAATGATCTTCTGCATTGAAAGTAAAATTATTATATAGACGAATGAAATTCTTTTTGTATCACAATAATATAAATATTTTTAATTGGTTTCATAAAATAAAAACAAAAATTCTATTCAGAATACATATAATACTTCTTCTTTACAGAGTGAGAACGAAGGTATAGATATTACATATATCTTTGAAATCTTCAACTGATGGAATTATACATGTGGATCATAAAGATCTTAATGGCAATTGACATTTTATAATTATTCCATTGAGTAATATATAGTTTTTAAATTATCTTTCCTTTATAATAATGAAACATCTACAAAATACATTAATTCTATGTCTGACAAACAGAAGAAAATCAATTATTATTATTAGATCATTTATGTAGTTCAATATCTCTAAGAAACGATGATAGTAAAAATTAGATTTCAAATTTCTTCGTTTTTCTTACCCAAGTTTTTTATTGTAATGCAGAATTCTAATGAGTTTTCAAAATATTGAATAATTAACACGAAACGAACTTTGTATTTCTTTGATTATTTTAAAAGTACATATCGAAAATATTGTTATTCTTCGACGTATGATCGATTATTTGCACAAGTATATATTGATATTCTCTACTTCTAACAAAAGACTCAGATAAAGTATTATATGCAAGAAATAGAACGACACTTTTTCTACATTATTATTATTAATCAAGGCTTTCATCATACAACCAAAAAAAAATATTTACTTGATAAAATGGTTCGACGACATATTGAAGACAGAACAGAACAAACATTTGGTGTCATCAATAATAACGTATCTTCAGTCTAATGTATATTTCAACAAATCCATATCAAATAATTTATGCTTGGCGTTATTTTTCGATGACAATAAATATTTTCATCGCACATCAAGATAATCTGTATATACATATATATAGAATAATATTATGCCAACACTTGTATTATTCATCTGATATAATTTTTTTGAAGAAGTATTATTTCTACATGAATATATTTGGAATACAAACGAAGCTCCTACTTTGTTGTGTGATACTGTTACTGGAAGTATCAGTTTTCAGTCAAGTGAACGGACGAGCATTCGATGAATCTGGTAAGTTATAGTATTGATCATTACAGGATGAGTCAAAACTTTTCGTACGTAATAGAAAAATTTCTCTTTCTCTCTTCTTACAAATCTTAAAATGATCGATACCAGACATATAGTTCCTTCTAATGTAATAATATCATCTCGAAGTGTAGAAGAGATTTTTTCTAACAATAAAATCTCTATAATGATTAACTTATACATCAATACAATAGCAAGTCATACAAAAATTATATATTATTACATTTTATTTCGTTGATGGTATATGTTTTTTTGTTCATATAAAACTGTAATTGTCTTACAATTAATCAGCAATATTTTTGGTGATTATCTTTTGAGAGAACCATGCCAAGATAAAATTTCATCTATAAGTTTTTTACATTTTTGAATGACACCAAGACATAAGTACTACTCATGTATTTAGTATAGTTTATTTAACAATCGATACTTCGTTCTTCACAGAAAATCTTTTCCAAATGTTAAATCGGAGCGTATGTATCGTTAATTTTACATTTATGACTTAGGGTCAGTTTCAAAATCTATGTGGAAAAATAGAAGGTAGATGCACTGGTAGTAGCTTGAGGGCGTAGATCAGAGATAAGCACAATACATACAACCACACCCTCAAGATGGTTTTCCACTGGAGATAGTTTCATTTTGCATTGAGTCTGTACTTCATCCATGAGCTTCAGAATATAAGATATAAAGTTCTTGTTCACCATTTTCTATCTACGATTGTGATTTGTTTAAGAGGAAACCAATAGTTCCGACACATATCAGTTCGTCAACGACACAGTCTACCGAGATGGTGTCAACGATGATAACAATTCGTCTGCAGTTGTGTTCACTGACCACGATGGGCAAAACTACATCGACAATCGAACATACACAGCCTCCTGGATTGATAGTACACGGCAGGTTTCAGGCGCCTTCGTTTTCTCCGATGGTGGCAGATATGAAGGGAACTGGGCTGACGGAAAGCGAAATGGTACTGGGACACATAACTACTCTGATGGCAGCATATACACCGGTGATTGGATCGATGACAAAAGATTGGGTTTAGGTTTACTAACTTCTTTTGACGATGAAAAATACGGTGGCAATTGGGCCGATGACAAGAAAAATGGGTCAGGCACGTTACAATATGCTGACGGTAGTATATATACAGGTGGTTGGATGAACGACAGAAAAAATGGTCGTGGCATAATGATCTGGTCGAATCGTGATAATTATGTCGGTCATTGGTTTGACAGCAAGATGCATGGATCAGGTACAATGCAGTATGCCGATCGCAGAATATATACTGGTGGTTGGTTAAATGGCAGGAAATCGGGTCCGGGTAGCATGAGTTGGCCTAAAGGCGAAAAATGTGATGCTGTTTGGATTGACGATAAAGCAGTTTGCGATGGTACGTAGTATTTTGTAAACAGTAGTATATTTCGATGTCTATAGTATGTATGATGAAGATTTGAGTTATTTACTTTGGCAATGAGATCTTTAATTCGACAGCAATAAACCCAATGCTTTTGAGTAACAGTACACACACCTCTATTATTAGACAGATTGCAAATAAATAGGTGGATCCCGTTCTTTGCGCCTGTTCCATTCTCACTCTGAATCGAAAACCCTGACCACTATCTAGATCTCCTCTTTCATTTTTTTCCGTTATCTTTAATCTCGTCGTATTTTAATTTGTAGTATTTCTCTATCGTTGTTGTTTGATTCACAAATGATTTTGATTACTATATGTAGGAAAACTTAAGTGAATTGGCGCTCATTTTTATAAATTTTCTTTAATTATTGAAATTATACTACCTTTCCTCCGCTTCAAAAATAACGAATGTAAAACAAGGGCTTCCTGGTGCTCTCTACTCTGGCACGCTCTTTAGAGAAAAAAATTGAACATATTGAATGAGATTAGACAACGAAAAATACACTACCTAATGATTTATATCTGACGCTTATTTCGCGCGTAACTCTATTAAATGTCATAGTACCAAGTGGAAAATTTACCATAGCTTCTCCATTGCACCACAAACATATACTTCATAATTCAGGCGATTTATATCTGTATCACGAGAAAACGCTTTGTGAGAACACATCTCTACAGATTCACTTTCAGTCGGTTAGTCTATTTGCAGCTCCATTCTCTTCAAAATCACTGATGCCGACATCGATCTCAGTTTCCATTTTATGATTAAAAGAAATGTTGATAGTTTAGTTTCTATTTCATCTTTTAGCCATTTGTTTTCCACAATGTTCGAATGGTGGAAAATGCACTGGACCAAACTCTTGTACCGTAAGTCGAGGAATTCATCTGTTTTTCAGGGGTAACTCATTCATCCCCTGTTTGTTTAGTGTACATCATCATGGACTGGACCTCGCTGTGAAACACGTATGTAATCATTTTTTGTTCACTTTACTATAAACGGATGTGGGTGTAGGTGTGAATTGAGAGTATAGATAATCACACTCATACGCACACCCTCAATTCAAATTACTTCTTTTATTGGCATATGTTCTAAAATATTTCTTGTTTTCAAATTTTTATTTAACAAAAAATAAATCAGCAGAATCTTTTTATCATTCTTCTTTTCATTCCTTTTCTTTTCAAATTAGATTTTTCTCAATTTGCTTCAGAAATTAATTATCTTTCAATAAAAATGCATTTTCTTCAAAATTTTCATTCTAAAAAATACAACTTTCAGATACTTTCTTCATTTCATTTTTCATTAAAGATATTTATGATCATTTCATTCAAATTTAATCTATTCCTTTTCTTCTTTTTCCTTTCATCAAAAATCTTTTATTTTCATTATTTGCTAGAGTCAAAATTCGAGAAATGGAAGCAAAATGCCATCATTGTAGCTGGTAGAAATGGGGGAGGACAAGAATTAAATCAGCTCAAATACCCTATTGGAATCTTCATTGACGAAAAGAAAAATATTTTCATTGCTGATCGAGATAATCATCGAATTGTTGAATGGAAATACAATGCAACAGAAGGACAAATCATTGCAGGTGGAAATAAAGAAGGAGATCGAATGGATCAATTAAATGAACCAACAGATGTGATTGTTAATCAACAAAATCATTCGATCATCATTGCTGATCGTGGGAATGGACGAGTGATTCAATGGATGGATCAAAATCAACAAATTCTGATCGAGAATATTTACTGTATGGGTTTGGCAATGGATAAACATGGATTTCTTTATGTTTCTGATTTTATGAAGAATGAAGTGAGACGATGGACAATGGGAGAATACAACAACGAAGGAATTGTAGTGGCAGGTGGAAATGGAAAAGGTGATCAACTTAATCAACTAAATCTTCCTACTTTTATCTTTGTTGATAAAGATCAATCTGTTTATGTATCAGACTTGTTCAATCATCGTGTGATGAAATGGAGAAAAGATGCAAAAGAAGGAATAATTGTGGCTGGAGGAAATGGAAGAGGAGGGAATCTTAATCAATTGTCTTATCCTGAAGGAGTAGTTGTTGATGATTTCGGTCAAATCTATGTGGCCGATGGTGAGAATCATCGAGTAATGCGTTGGTATGAAGGAAAAGATGATGGTGAAATTGTTGTTGGTGGAAATGGCCAAGGAAATCAATCAGATCAATTGAATAATCCCAGTGGTTTATCTTTTGATAATAAAGGAAATCTTTATGTTGTTGACCGGTTGAATCATCGAGTTGGAAAATTTGAAATTATATTGTGTATGAAATCTTGATTTTGAAAACAAGAGAAAAAGTTTTTTATTGAACTAAAGAACAAAAATCTTTTAGAATTTTTTTCTTTAAATTTTAATTTGATTTGATAATTTTGATTAAAAAGTTCCAAGAAATAAATGTTAAATTCTTCATCTTTTGTTGAATTTTGCAGTAGATAAGAAGAGAAAATGTTGTATACTTTGAATTAAATTAAATAGAAATTATTCGAGAAGAAGATTTTGAGTTTGATAAAATTTGAAAACTATTGAAAAATGAAAAGAAAAGGAATCTTCTATGAAAAATTGGAAATTAAAGTGAATTTTGTTGAACAAAGCAAATATTAAAAAGATTTTCATATAGATGAAAATAGGAAAAAAATTTGAAGGAAAAATGAACCAAGAAATCCAAGTAGAAACAGTAATAAAACTTTTGAAATGCTACAAAATTCAACTTGAGGGTGTGGGTGCGAATGAAAAAAAGAATATCATGTCCGCACCCACACTCACACCCTAGGTTGTCGTTTTATTGTTGTTTTTTCATTGGAATTTGATGAAAAAAAAACAATTTGAAGCTATTTTTATTACTTTTTAATCGATATTGACAATTCAAAGTAGAATTTCTCAAGGAAAAACATCTCATTAGAATGATTAAAAAAATGATTAAGTTGTATGATGAAATTGTCAAAAATGCATCGAAATGTGGGAAAATATATTTTGTTTGAAAGTATAATAATATATTTTTTAGATAAATATTTTATATGAATTTATTTAATTATTGTTAAATAGAAATAAAACTATTCTCAATGATTATTTATCAATATAAAACTATTATGAAAATAACTTATTTTTTATTTTTATTGGAAATTATATATTCCTATATAAATTTTATTTATTATTTTATAAGATTGTACAAATTGATAATAATTTATATAAAAATATCTGAAAGATGAATTTTTATGAATGATGATGATGATTTAATGTTATTATTTAAAAACAGAACATGATTAAATTAAATTAATCAGACAATTTTTATGCAATAACAAAGATATTTTGAATAATATTAGAGGAAAGAAGAGAGATATAAATAGTACTTCAGATTTATTCTTTGAAAATTTAACAAAAAAAATTCATTTATTTATACAGAACGAAAACTAAGAGATAAACTAAGTATAATTTTAATATTTACATTCTTATCTGATAAATTTATAATTAACAAGTTTATCAAGAAAAAGAGTATTGATTATATTTGAAAGAATATAAGCAAGAATCAATTTCTGCATTATTTTTATTAAATTATATTTGAGAAAAAAAAACAGTTTTCATATGTAAAAAATTCATTGACGAATTATAGAATTTCTGTTTGACTAAATAAAATTTTTATTAAAAATAAAATTGAATTTTAATTATTATTTCAATCAAAAAAAAACTATTCATTCGATATTAAATAATATTTTCGTCTGTAAGAGATTACTGTAACAATTATTGATTTTTTTAAAATAACAATAAATTCTTAAAAAGAATATTTCAAAATATAAAAGATTAATTGAATATCTTGTCTGATATATGATAATAGTTTTGATTTATTTCAAAAATATATCGCATCAAAAAAGAATTTCTATAAAAATTCATTTTAAACAATAAATCATTTTTTGAACATGTTTTATGTGGAGAAATAGTTTTATTATGTCACATTTGTTGTTCTGATTATGAAAAAAGACCATTAATTGCAATCATCGCAGATATTCGATATTATCATTTTTTTAGAGCTTTTCATACCGAATACTTCAACAGAAAAAAATCAAACTTCTATTATGTATCGATTCTGACGTATGTGAATATATTTTGGAATATCCAGTGATATACAACACTTTCGTTTTTATAATTAAATCTCATTTATATCTTATACTTATTTATTTCGATATAATTTTTCTTTTTCAATTAAATTGTTATATTCAATAATGTTTATATTTTCGAAAGATTTTCATTTCTTGAAAAATTCATTAGATATTTTCAGTTTCATCAGTTCACAAGACGAAATTATTTCAAACCTTTAAAAATCTTATTTTTCTTCATTTTATTTACTTTGCATTTGTTAATTGTGTTCCATTATATGAAGCACTAAAAATTCATTTGATCAAAAATAAAATTGTGTTTTTTTTGTTATTTTGTGTCGCTTTGCATATGCAAGAGAGCATCGGTATGGTATTGCATAGATGTATATATGCAAGTTTTTCTTTCTCGAAGGTCAAAGAATAATCTTGTATTATATTTGTCGTCAGATTTTTTCATTGATTTCAACACAATGAAGAAAATGGCAGTCAAGTAAAATACTTTTTCTGATTCAACTCTACCAATTCATATCCCTACTAAGTATGAAAGAGAAGAATCGTTTGTTGAAAATTTTACTTTTAGATTAAGCCACTACTATTTTCTCCAATCTTTTCAAGTATATCATCAGCAGCAGGTAAATATAGATAAGGACGTAAATATTTGCAGTTTTTTTTAATAATCTTATGTGTTTTTTCTAAAAGAAAATACTCTTTTATCAATGTCTAATACATCAAATGATGAACAACTTGGTTTAGAGGCCAACGGGCGAAGCCCTACAACTATACGCGACGATCATCAAATAGGCAAGTCGTTACTGTCTTCTTTAGTTATGAAAAAATAATTACACTACTTTTAATTGTTTTTGTCTTATTCAGATAATGTTACAAATCACTGTTCGCCGATTTTGATTCCTAGTAGTACGCCGCCGAATGCAACAATTGATACAGGTTCAGAATTACCACCAATATCTGAGACAGCTTCACCGCCTACAAATCAAGATGAAGTAGGAAGACCAGAGGCAATATCAACAAATTTACCATGGAACTCAGATCGACGTAAGTTTGACTTTTGAGAAGAGTTCTAATTCGAGTTTTGTAGATATAAGTGAATGGAATATTGATGAAGTGTTGGGATGGTTTCAATTTCATAAACTTGATAAGTAGATGAACGACTAAAAACTATTGTTGCTTCCAAATACATGAATTTGTTTTAGGTTATATAACTGTTTGTTTGCTCCGGGTGAAGTTAAAAATGGTGCAACTTTGAAAAAAATGTTTCAAATGAAACGACAAGTAAATAAATTCAAGAGTTTTGTTTTTTATATCTTTTCAAAAGACTTCAATACCGGCAAATCTATTTTCGAGAAAAAGTTTTTCTGCTATATGCTAAATCGAGATTATTTGTTCATATATATATATATTTTCATTTATGTATTTTGAATTGATTTTAGAATTTTGAACATTACCGAGTTTATTATACAAATCGTTTAAAATCGAATCCAGATGATCTTTCAAAAGATTTCCATGACTTCAATCGATCGCTTGATTTATATTTTATTAATAAATATGCCCATCGATTTGATGTTGCCTTCTCATTTCCAGGTATATTTAAAAGATCAAATATTTCTTTTTACTTTATAATACACGTCAGTTAATCACCAGAAAACAGTTCTTATTTTTGATTTGATTATCTAAGACTAAGAATATTCTTTGTTTTCTAGGTGAAATACGCAATCGGGTTAGTCAAATAGCGGACAAACTCTGTGTGAAAATTAACAGACAAGATGGAAGGAAACCAATATTTTATGATAATTATCATAAAGCTGAATTAGCCCGTCCAAATTTAGATCTTTATTTACACACGATATATCGATATCAAACAAGATTGATCGTCGTTTTTATGTGTGATGATTATTCACGTAAAGAATGGTGTGGTTTAGAAGCACGTGCTATACGTAGTCTATTGAAAACGCATCAAAGTGATCGGATTATGTTATTAACAGTCGATGGAAAAAGAATCGAAGGTGTATTAGATATTGATGGATATTTCACAAGAGAATGATGATAATGTTGTAGATGCTATTCACAGTCGTTTAGAAGCTCTTGGTCATCCATTGCCATTATCACAACCATTACATACGCCAACACAACAGCTAATATCAGAAAGCGTGCTATCAAAACGTATTGAGATTTTGAGAAATGTTCTTCGTTCAATATCACCATGGTATATTATAATTATACTATTATCATATATTTTAGGTACTATTATTGGTCGTTAGAATTATATGTTTAATTTGGTTGATGATTTCATTAATAATATTTGACATTAAAGTTTCTTTTTTTTTAAAAAAAATATTTTAATGGCGGTATAAAAAGTGATTGTTAGTAGACCACTCATTACATTTTTAATAAACATATAAAATTCTCAAAACATTTTTTTTAACTACTAAATTGGACATAGTTTGTAAGATGTTTCGACTCAGTTTTTATTTTGTTCGAATAAATACAACATCAAAAGCAAAATAAGATCAACTATAACAACAACATTTAAATATGTTCCTTACAGCTTGTTCCCAAGAGAACTCGGATAGCTTGTGAATCGACATCAATGAAAACGAGATCATCTCGACCATCTTGATTTAGATCGGCTGATTGAAGTGATCATACTGTAGCTGAGAGTAAGGATCATAATTGATGTAGTGAAAAGAATTAAGTAAACACGAGTTGATCGACGTTCATTTCGTGTAATCGTTTCATTTTGACTACCAGTATCGAATAGGTTCAATTGAACGAGATGTAGCTTGAGACGACCAAAAGCAGCACGCAGATTGGCTCTGCTTGCCATTTTGTCTTCGACAATAGATTCAAATGTCAAAATTTCACATCTATCTGAAATATTCTTTTAAGATGTGCGAGTAACTGATTCGCACGTTTGGAATAGAACAATATTGAAAATGCACTTTCACTCTCAATCATTTTCACTAAAATTGAACATCTACCCATAGCTTCTGTTTTTCTCTTTGAAAAATTACACTTATTGTGCTCATAACTATCGATCATTCACTATCTCGTTTAAAGTTATAAATATAATTTTTATGTGAATAAAAAAAATTATTAAAAAAGAAAATGAAATATACGCTATTCACTGCATATGATAGACTTCTGAATAAAAGTATACTTGAAAAAAATGCTCTAAACTGATTCAACACAAACCATCTGTGAACAAAAAAAGTCAGGCTACAAAGTCAGTGGCATGATTTTTCTTCAGGAAGCTTGGTTATTTTTTCCGGAAATAAAAATGATAACTAAGAGTTTCATTTTGCCAGTTTGCTTCGGAAAAAGTGTCTCGTTTTTTTATACGATCTGTACATTTATCAATAGGAGGCGAAGGTAAAAATTATTAGCTACTACTCAATAAGTTAAAAGTGAAAAATTATTGAAAAAAAGAAAAAGTCAAAACTAATTAATCTATGTTAATCATTAGATGAATGATATTCAAATGATTTTTGACATTTATTTACTATTTTTTATATATTTCTTGAGGTTAATCAAACAAAATATGTATTTATTAATCGAAAATGATTCACGATGATGAGAGATCTTTCTGTTTGTTTTTATTCACAAATTCTTACCTTCTCTTTGTAATTCAATTGTCAAAATAACTTGTTAAAGTGCTAGAAAAACTGAACAATATCTGACTGTAAACTAAAGATCATGAAAACAACAAGTTTTTTCTTTTCTATTCGCCTACATAATGACGTCGATGTAAAATATTTTTTTATTGAAATATTTACAACAAATATAACATTTGGAACAACTCATAAATAAGAACAATAAATTTATTTCCTTTTTGCAAAACTAATTTGTGAATAAACTTGTGCCAAATGTCACTTATGATCAGATATTAATACAATAAATGTTCATGATATTTAAAATTTGGAGGAAGGATGTGAAAATAAACTGTTTCAAAGCAAATTTTATGTTATTCTTTATAAAAAAAAACAACATTGAAAATCATAGTTTGAAGAAGGAAATGCAAAGTTTCCTGAAAACGACAATAGGATTTATCTGAATAAAATATTTTGTATTTAATATGAATCTTTCAACATTTCTAGCGAAAAAACGACTTCATCATCTGATAGATGGAAATTGGTTTATATCTGTTTCAAGTTCATCAATTTCTTTTTCTCGTATAATTATTTTGCAATCGTATCTTTCAACATTAAACTGTCTATAGCAAGAATCTAAAATCAGAATGCAATAATAAATAAAGAATGTACATAAACAAATAATGCAAGTACTGATAGACGAGAAAAAATTACTCATCCTTATAAAAAAAATCCTAACTAACCTGTTTTTATACTTCTCATTTAACTGATAATGCTTTCCATTATAAAGAGATCGTTATATATTCTACACAATTGACTATATACTTATATTGAAAATTTAGTTCTATTTCTTTTTTGTCATATGACTTATAATCTTTTTGTTGGATTTTTTCTTCTATTTTTCTTTCGATTCATTTTCATATGGAATATTTCAACTTAATCGCTTGTTTTTGTCTCTCTTATCAGGAACGTTTATTTCATAACGACAAAAAAATAATGATTCAATGTTTGTACATTCTTTTTCTTTCTTCACCTTTCTTCATCGAAATTTTGTCACGAATAGAACGAAAACAGATCTATTAAATCATCATATAAAATCACTTTACATTACACAAATGATAATGATATAAAAAAATAGTTTGCGAAGGTTATTTCCAAGAAGAAAAAATAAGAAAAGAAAAAATATCATATAGATATTTGTTTGTTTTTCTTTTCTTCCTATTTAGGTGTGTTTAGTGAGTATTTAAATCAAACCTTTTCTTCAATGATATATTCTCAAAGGTATTGAAGAAAAGAGTATTCTTATTCGTAAGATATCCCTGGTGTTTTAATCTACTATGAGTCAATCAGCAACGAGAAATTCAACAAAGTATTGTAGATTAGATGATTCAGAAATAGAAAGACAAACTCTATGAAAGTTAAATGATGATATTGATAAAAAGATATACTAATACAGGTACTAGTATAAATGATTCGGAGCTTTCCAAATTCATCTCTGTGTTTTGCGGGTGTGGGTGTGGATTATTTGAGAACTCACTAACAAACATACTGTCATTTTTTGTCCAACCATCTTAGATGTAACATCAGTTTTACTAGTAAGATTTTGTCATAATAAAATTCTTTTTAGATCTCTTCTATAAATTTATATTGAACTAGATGGCAAACAATAAAATACAATGTTTTACATGCAATAAGGAAAAAATAACATATCCTTGCAAAGGATGTTCAAAAGAATTTTGTTTAATACATTTAACAGAACATCGACAAATATTAACTGATGAATTAAATCATATTACCAATGAATATAATGAATTTAAACAAAGAATTTATGAACAAAAACAAAATCCAGAAAATTTTTCATTACTAGAACAAATTAATCGATGGGAAAGAAATTCAATTGAAATAATTCAACAAAAAGCAGAAGATTGTAGAGAAATTCTTATTGAATATTTACCAACAGTTGTTAATGATATTGAAATGAAATTTAATGATTTAAATGAACAAATAAAACAAATTTATGCCGAAAATGACTTTAATGAAATTAATTTAAATTATTTAAAAAATCAATTAATAGAAATTACACAAGAATTAAATAATCCAACAAATATTTCTATTAAAGAAGATTCACAACCGTTTATTAATGATATTTCAATTTTTTTATCAAAAAGTAAGCTTTTATGAAATAATACGTAAATTATCTTTCATTTCGCTTTGTTCAAATTTCTTTTGTTAATCTTCTTTTACTAGTTTTTTTCTTATTCTTTTCATGAAAATCTTTTGTTTTCCTTATTCTCTAGAATCAAACTTTAATGAATGGAAACAAAATGCCATCATCGTGGTTGGTGGAAATGGACAAGGGCAAGAATTAAATCAACTCGATCATCCTTTTGGAATCTTCATTGATAAAAAGAAAAATATTTTCATTGCTGATCTTTGGAATCATCGTATTGTTGAATGGAAACATAATGCAAAAGAAGGACAAATTATTGCAGGTGGAAATGGCAATG